AGTTGCCGCGCTGGTTGCAGTGTCGCCTACGTGGCAAACTCGGTTACGTATGCGTCTACAGTGGGTACATTAGCCTTTTGCTACCTAGTTTCTACGTTGAAGAGGCTACAGTATTTATTGCTTATGAAATTATAAGTTATTTCTTCGATGAAGATCTACTGAGGTGTTGGTTTCCCGAGCTTTCCGTGTATTCTCGAGTTGCACTGCTGAACACCAGGGCCTTAAACGTACCAGAACATGCAGATAACGGTCGATGCAGCGAACAAATACGAACCCTGGGACTTGCATTTCCCCAGCTAAAGGCTAAGGGCTAAAACCCAATGATTAATTCCGCGGGTTATCAAAATTCAATAATTGATCATTATAACTGCTTTTGCTGCATTAGATACTGAGCTCTTCCCTTCAGCGGCCCCTACTCCGCAAGGAACCTCCGAAAAGGACGGACCAACTCTCATATTCTCTCCCCTTCTTACTTCCCTATGTTAATCTACCAACACACCATGAACTGTAAACAGACAACACTTTACTGCAATCCTGATGTACTGTTACTACCAGGCTATTTCTACTACACCACTCCTCCTTCCTCGCGGTGAATTCAACTATATTTCCTCTCTCTGCTTTCCGAAAACACCAAACAACTAAAACTGCACCGACAGGCATCGCCAGAAGTAATTCGCGTACAACTCATGCATATCAGAGTAGAAACGCACACGACAGGCATCGAGGGGTTCACCTCGTGAGTTCCTTAACAGATAGTGGAGCTTGTTCGCATCCTGCACCGGCTTCTGCATACATTTTCGAGTCAGCCAAGGTAGGACAAACGAAAACTAAACATCCAGGCAGGTTGTATTTGCACCCACCTCCTTTCTCAGCTATGCCTGATTTCAATGGACCTACGATCGTCTAGAGCCTCTTCGTTCCCTCCGGTGCCTCGTCGCAATCTCCTTATAATCAGGTAAAGAACCCCTATGCTATCCGCTTCTGTAGCGAAGTATTCTCCCAAAATTCCACTCAAACAATGGTAATTAATAAATGTACATTGCTTTTAAATTAATAAACGCTGTTTTCAACAGGGATTATGAGAATCCGTTGAATGCGATGCCGCTGCCCCGGGGTAA